GGGCGACAGGAGGAGAAAGAAGAGGGGGGAGGGGGAGAAGAAGGCGGCGGCATCGCGTTACTCGCGAGGAAATATTCTTATAGACTTGGCAATGACGTAAGTGCGCAACGAGCAGCGAACAGCGGGCGGAAGGGCCGAAGAGAGGGAGAGAACGAGAAAGAGGGACGGCGAAGAGGAAGGGAGGAAAACTTGGCTGAAACTTTCGTTCATCCGGGGCCCCGCGGAGCGCGCTTGCCTCTCCTCGTAAATAACAAACTCTCTAGACGGTGTACAGCGACGGAGTAAGCTGCGGCTCGTGGCTTTCTGTGAACCACGGAGAGTAGCGACAGCGACGACGGTAGTAGTGGTATATAAAGAGAGAGAGAGAGAGAGAGAGAGAGAGAGAGAGAGAGAGAACTCATGGAGAAGAGAGGAGTGGGGTTTGGAGAACGAGAGGAGGAGAGGAAGAAGGGCGTAACTGGGCCAAACGGTGGCTACGTCGCGGTCTAGACACGCCGAGCCGCTCTGCTCCGCGCCGCTCCGCTCGGCTCCGCACCGCGGCTCGTTTCGCCTCTCTCGTCTCTCCTCGCCTCGCTCTTGCCACGTCTCGTCTCGCCTCACCTCGCCTCCTCGCCGCTGCTCCATGCCGCGGTTGAGAATTAATGCTTCGAGTTTGCCAGACTTTCCTTTTCGCTTCGTAACAAGGTGGTGTAGTTCCGCCGTCTCCTCTCCGAGCGACGGCGCGTGACACGCTTCGTCGAATTAATAATTGCTAGAGCTTGAGCGATTTCGGATCGATGGATTTCCAGCGTCGGGGGAGAAAAAGAGAGAGAGAGAGAGAGAGAGGGTGAGAAATAGAGGAGGACGCTTTTGCGGCTCGCGAGAACAGTCTTACGAAAGCTTCGTGATCGCATTGATTTATGATGTTTTTTGAGAGAAGATGAAAAAAGCTATCGAAAAGGCGAACTTTAATTATTGATGATTTTCGTCGGAATTTCATGGCCAAGAAGGTGCAACTTGTAATTGAAAATTATTCTGACTGAGAATCGAGAGATTAGAGCGCGTTAGTGCATTTAATGTTCCGACAATCGCTCAGTAACATGAATCACACACCTCGTTGTTACGTTACCGATCATTACGTATCACAAATCGGCATAATAGCCGGCTTAATAATCTTTTAAAGTGTATGGTATTCAGACAATTGCATATCGTCCACTTTTAACAGCAGTCTACTACCATTGATAATATTTTTCTAAATTGACAATGAAAAATTTAACGTACACCACCAACATGTCGTGTAACGACACGAGAGAAACGACTTTTTCGCGAGAGAGAGAAGCACGTGCAGCAACATGGACGGAAAATCACTGTGAAAAGGGTGCTTTGGCCTTTTACGTAACCGACTGTTAAACCTCAAACATACGATGTGACGCTCCTAAAAATACAATCTCTTTATCTCACAGGCACGAGGTGCAGTGTTCGTATCAACCGATAGCGAAACTATTTTCGCACTCGTCGGTCTAACGCTAAAGTCAGAGAGGAAGACGTCTGAAGGGTTCCACCGGCTATTTTGGCAAGCGGCCGCGTTAACGCCGCGCTGCTCCATTGCCGCGTCCTCGTCATAAGCGTTACACAGCTGACGCGATTCACCTGAGCTTCTCGCTTTCCGAGAACTAGAACCGTAAACTGACGCGGCAAAATCATTTATCGTGAGAAATGAGAGAGACAGAGAGAGAGAGAGAGAGAGAGAGAGAGAGAGAGAGAGAGAGAGAGAGAGGAAGAGAAAGAGAACGCGGCTATTAATATCGTGCGCCTAAGGTTTTTCGCTTGTCAGTCGGCGTCGACCGTTTCGCGATCTCGCTCGAATTTCCCCTAGTTTGACTTTACGAGCATGGTGATCTCTATTTTCGCGCTAACAATGTTTTCGCCGTTTCCTGAAATTGTCCGCCAAGAAATCCCCGTCGAGAATAGTTGCGCGCGTGGGATAAATTTGTAGATTGCCTAATCTCCGATCCAAATCGGATTCTGAATGAGCTCATTCTCGCTTTTTCGAGTATACCACGGCGTGTCTCGTTGTACGCGATTAATGCAGTTATTGGAAGACGCAGGCGTGAATTAATTGCAAAAGCATCACATTAGCGCACAGAAAATCTGTTTTTTATTAAAAATAATTTTCATCAATGGAAAGCACAAAATATTAGATTGAGAATATGATGTTTCTAAATGTCGGAAAAAGATATCATTATCACCAAAATAATCGTACATGTATGTACATGTATGTAAATTTAAAATTCTTCTAGCAAAATTGTATATCATTAGTTATATATGAAACAATAATTGTTAATTTAAATATATCAATTTTAAGTGAATACTCATTTTTTCCGTACATATATTTTTCCGTAAAAAGAAAAAGAAATTTTACGGATATTGAAGAAAAAAAGAATAACAAGGTTACCTTACGACCGCAACCTCCGCAGATATTTTAATTAAAATACAGCTATGCGACATGCGGTAACATTATGAACGCGAAATGATCGAGTGCGCTACTCCACTCGACTAATACCGACTCTATATTTGCATCTTACGCGCGCACCGCAAGAAAGAGGCGATTTGCTATGCAGCGCAAAGATAATCGTCGAATCCATCATCGACTTTGTTACGCGCGAGACGTTACTGTAACTACATGCTAGTCTTCGAGGAATTCCGAGCCATCGCTAACGCTAATGCTCGAGGGTTTAGTAAACAATGTCGACTATTCCGGGCTTGTAGCTCGCAATTGCGCGAAGGCTCGTGTGTGCTAATCATACATCGTAAAGTACTTTCGTAGTAAGTTCGCGGGAAACGCTTATGAACGGAAAACACGTAGCCGCAGTTTATCTTGCTGCTTTTAAAGTGGTAAATACGCCGCCGAATCGAGTGCAAGAGTAAAGCACGAGATGCGGAAACGCTTCGTACGAACGAAAGCTGTCGCTTTTTCGTCGTTGTTCGCTTCATTCGATGCGAGAATTTTTGTTTCAAGAGAATTTTTGCTCGTTCTCTCTCAGTGGGATTTCACTCCTGGAGAGTGTTCTCCTTTCGAGAACACCTCGTCGAATTTTCGCAATTCGTTCCGTTTGTTCAAAAAACGTAATTTGCGCGTCCGGTCGGCTGAGCTGAAGAAAAGCTCGAGAGTTACGCGCGGAGAATAAAAAAGTACGCGATACGTATTGGCGGTGAGTATAAAAGTCGCGTGTTTTCTTTCACGAGGCGGCGTGTCTATTTTACACCCGTTTACGCGGCGATTTCCCGCAAAAGAGAGGCACCTTGTTCCACTTGTTCTCATAGCGCCAATCACGTGTCCGATGTTTACTTTTTTCGTAATGTTAATTAGAGAACCCTACAAGGCGTTTCTTTTTGTCGTGCCCCATTAACGTGACTAGAGCTGGTACCACAACTACATCGACGATCCGCTCGCCTACTCGCACGCACGCACGCACGCACGCACGCACGCACGCACGCAGTGTGCGTGTATAATGTCATATAATCAAATACGATGTCACGATACCGTAATCAAAGCAGCTCGAGAGAGAAGCGGATTCGTCTCAATCTCAAATATACCGCGAGAGTTTACTTTCCTTCGATAAGTAGATAATAATTAATGAGAAGAAATGAGTGCGTGTACGAATGCAGCCAACAGTCGATCCACGCTATCAATTCAAATCTCACATTGATCTTGCGCGTTGCAATCTGTGTCAGGTGGTATATGTTGGTCGTCCATCAGTAACGGTCGCTGCAAAGAGCTTCTGTCGCAAGGCGTCACGCGGGAGGACTGTTGCGCCTCGAACGCAGCGGCAGCGACTGCCTATTCCGAAGAGGATCTGGACAGCGGAAGTCTTTTCTTCTGGAAGGTTCTCGGTGGGGGTGTGCAGTGCCTTCCTTGTCGAGGTAAGCGGATTAAATTGCGCGACGACGATCAATCGACATCTTTTTCTCGGTGTGTCACTCCTCGACATACACCCAAATCGAAATTTTTATCCTCTTTTTAATATTCCATTTAACGCCTATTCGCTACTCTAAACCCTATATCAACCCCCCTCTCTCTCTCTCTCTCTCTCTCTCTCTCTCTCTCTCTCTCTCTCTCTCTCTCTGTCTCTCTGACGGATATACTGATCCTCTCAGAATATGCAGATATTAAAAAAACGAAAGTGAAGCTAAAATTTCGATTCGGATACATGTGTGAGCGCATACGAAATTGCCTGTCCTATTTTGCAGAGAGCTGCGCGGAAGTGAGGTGTGAGGAAGGAAAGAAGTGCGTGGTGCGTAGAGGAAGACCGAGGTGCGTGTGTAGTCCGGAGTGCAAAGCACCGCGAGGTGGTGGACCGGTCTGCGGGACGGACGGCAAGAGTTACAAGAGTCTGTGCAGACTCAAAAAGCGAGCTTGCAAGAAGGGCAGTCACGAGCTCGCGGTTGCTTACAACGGCCACTGCCAAAGTGAGTATGTATGAATAATAATATTATTCGTCAAATATTGTATGTGTATTCATTGCGTATTGGTTGCGTATTAATTGCTGGTTTGAGTTGCAAATAACTCCCGATGTCTATCTGGCCAATTCGCTATTCTTAATTGCAATAACGTTATCCCCCCTCTGAGAAAGAACACTGGCTCGTCACCAGCGCCACGATTACTAGCCACGCATTTATTTGCTCGTATCGATACGCACCGCGGCCGTAATCATGTACCAAGACGAATAAGTTGGATCTCTCCGTTGTAAAAAGGAGATAAAAAGGAGAGAGAAAGAGAGAGAGAGAGAGAAACAGCTGCTTTAATCCACGGGAAAAGTCGTATCTGACATTAAGTTGACACTCTTTGTTTATCGTACGCGCTCGAAAGACTGGTAATTACGCTAACTAGGACGCGAACGATCGGATAAAGAAACGCAACGACCTGAAAGAAACATCCGGTGGGATTGGCCGGCCCAATACGGGCCACTCGCGCCGGTACGCGGTAATTGTCCCGGTAATCGATCCGGTAACGCGGCTTAATAGCCACGCGTACGAGAGAAAAAATATTTTGATCCTGTGTAACGTCGATACGTCAATGAACCGTAACGAAATGCGTGTTAGTTCCCACGATGCCGACGCGATTCTGTGGTCGACGCAAAAATTGCGCCACGCCGGACAACGACGGAGAAGTTTCACGTGTATCTCGGCCGTCTTTGCGCGCCTCTGATTCTTTACGGAAATTTCACGATCGAACATTTATCGCCTCTGCAAGTTGAATGCAATCTAATCAGGTATTATCTTCGTACACGCGTTTCGCAACATTGACGCGTTGACTCTGAGTCGAAGTCAATGCGCCAAGTCCGGAAACCGGGATGAAATAGCATACTTTCCAGAATTTCGTTGTTGAAACTTTTCAGACAATCGTGGCAATTAACTACACAAAGATGATAGAAACAAGCAACATGATGACTCTCATCCCCAACTTAACCCCCTGACTAACGATATTCTAAATCCAACGCGCTCGATGTATCAACCGAGTAGTATCACATGTTTGTTTTTCCTTCAAAATAAACAGAAACACATATCTTATTTTATTCTATTGAAACAATAGTTGATATAAAAGTAGAATTTCCTGTTTGATATCATAAAAATATTACCGACTGAAAAATGGTGCATAGAAAAACCATCAAATGTCTATCTTTTTAAACCAGTTTCTTTCAAATGGTGAGGCGCATTGCACTTTGATACTTATATATCTTTAATTTGCTCATGAATAGCTAAAATTTTATCCAAAAATAATTTAAGATTTCGAATGCCACAAAATGGGGCTAAAAACTTATGAGAGCCTGACTGTTTTTTTTTTTTTTTTGAATATTCTAAACTGAATCTATGCTATATTTAGAGAAATCTTGGGAAATTTCTAAGCGGGTAATTAGATTACCACTCGGCGTTGGTGCAACCGGAATCTCTCGCGACTACTTGAGAGCCGCGTAATTTTACGTGAACGATTAGACGAGTGACCGGGAACAGTGAGTGAGTCGGCATCACACACGGTCGGCATCGTCGTGGTAAGCGGCTGGTGGCGGCCAGCGAACAAAAATAAAAAGAAGAAAGGCAACGACGCGCGTCTATCTCGGGGGCGGTTTACGACTGTGCGTAATAACGTGCAAAGTGTCGAGCAGGTTCGTGCGCACGGGTCCGGTGCGGCCAAGGTCGGAGCTGTCTACTGGACCAGAACCTGAGCCCTCACTGCGTGAGGTGCGCCCGCAGGTGCCCCCAGGCGCCCCCGCACCAGGTCGCCGGCGCGCGCCCCGTCTGCGGGGCCGACGGAAACACCTACAAGAGTGCCTGCCACCTGCGACTCGCCGCTTGCCGCGCTGGCCGCGCCATTCCCGTCGCTTATAAGGGCCATTGCAAACGTAAGTCTGTCTCTTTTTCTTCTACTTATTAATCGTTCCCCGATCTCGCGCCGGGAGCGTGCCGGAAGTGACAGAGAACCGACGTCGATTCGACGGGATAAAACGCTGATAATCGAGAATTTCGCGGAAACCTTTCAAAGGTGAGTCGTGGAGTTCCTTCCCGAGGATAAGGCGCTCGAATTTAAAACGAAATAAAGTTTACTTTCGGTATCGAAATATCTTATGTCAATTGGTATCTCTGCCTGCAAAATTATTACTGTTGTGCAAAGAGAGAGAAGGAAATTATAATAAATAACGCAGGTGTACTCAATTCAGCAAAGAAGGTACATTAAGAAGGCGTACGAGTATATATGAAGTCCGCCGAAAAGGGTGACTCGATCGAATAAAAACAATCGGCGAATAAAAAACAGAAGAAGAAAGGTTAGCTTCATTGGCGAACGAGCGGGTAGTCAACCGACCGCTGCTTTGCATTGGAATGGGCCTTATTGTTGTCTGTTTTGCACGGTCCCGAAACCTCACGACAGATACCATAAAATAGCCAAGAGACGGTGTCCTTAAACGGGAAGAGTCCATGGGAATAATAAAATTCACGGATAGATTTTGAGCCCGGTTGATTCGGTAGAATTTGCATCTTTTCCTTCCTTTCACTTTGCTTTTCTGTCTCTTTTTCTCTCTCTTTCTTCCTTCCACCCACTAGACCCTTTACTTCAGCCCTTCCGCGGAAAGGAAGTGGAGGAAAGGATTCGTGAGTCTAAGATTCACTCGAAAGAAAAAGAGAGAGAGAATCTCGCTTGCTGGAAGAAGAAAAGGATACGGTACCTGTGGCTCGCCTTCACCGTCGCCTTCGCCTTCGGCCAGTCGCGCGGCACGAAGGCGCAAACAGACGTGAACGGATAGCACAATGGAAAGAAACTAAAAATAATAGCGATCCCGAGAATCTCGAGGAGGAAGTCATTACACGAGTTGGATGAGACGCGATACACGTACATATTTGCAACAGCTAGCAGAATAGCGTGGCTCGATTTGTCGCAATCGTTCAACGATTCGCGATACTTCTTCCGCGCTGAAAAATTCAGCGACAACGCGAAATTATCTGGTGCGAAATACGCGTGGGAAGTTCAATTTCAAATATAGTGTCGCCAAGAGCGAGAAATAATATACTTGTTTTTTTTTTATTATAGTTTAACTGTTACACATCCTGTGACTTGTTTATGCGTTGTCAGATTGCGAGTAGTTTTAATTTGGACACACACATATATATATATATATATATATATATATATATATATATATATATATATATATATATATATATACACACACACACCACGTGACACTCGCCGAGAGCAGACTATTCTCAAATTAGCGATTGCCCCAGCAAATACCATAATTGCGGTAAGAAACGGATAACTACGAGGTATGACTTTTGTCGGTGCTTCTCACGAGTGTCTTATATTGTAAGGAGAAGAGAAAAGGAAGGGGCGTAAAAGTAAAAAACATCAGAAGGCAATCGCAAGATCGTTCCAGGAAGTTCATCGACCGAGACGCGATCTGCTGGGCTGCGAAAGAGAACAAAAAATTATAAAAAAAAAAGAAACAGGAAAGAGAGAAGAAGGTAAAAAGATGGAGCGAGAGACAAAGAGGAGCATCGTTTTCTGTCCATTCCTCTCGAGAAGCTGCCATAAACCCTCAACTTCGAACACGATACCATCGCCGATTACCAGTCAGATTGACAGATTTTTTTCCAAGAACCCATCCGGGGATCCTTCGGAGAGTATCACGCGATCCTCGCAGCCACCTGGCACATCTCCTAATTATTTCAGACACCTTTCAGTTAACTTGAGAAAATTCGCCAATTTCTCCTACAAAGTTAACCCATCCCGCCGGATGGGTTTATGCGAACGTGAAGGAAAAGCACGCGCGTAAGAGGCAAAAGAGGAGAAGGAGAGAAGGGCTGTGTGTAGAGGCTCACCATCTTTCTCTTTAATCGTTCCCTATAAATTTCTAACGGCCTACCAATTACGGTGGCTGTCGTGAGACACAGCATGTCGCGGACGCTTTCTCGCATGGGATCCTCTTTGAAATGTATTATCACCGTGTTCGAGGAGGACGACAGGCACGGGGCAAACGACGCGTGAAGCCGAGAACGAACGCATTTTCCGTCGCGGTTGTGCGCGACGATACGCTTTAAGAACGAAACAAAAAAAAAGGAAAAAGAGAAAAAGAAAGACATCGATAATATCGTAATATCTTCTGTGCGTACGACGTGTACACGTTTCGCGGTCGTCGCAGCACTCGGGTCGTGTCGCTCATTTGCAGCGACGGCGCGTGGAATGCCGACGACGACGACGACGCGGCGTAAGTCCGCCGTCGTATACAGTTCGCACACGGGGCGTGGGCGCATTACGCTTTAGGATCGCCGTCATTGTATTTAAATGGCGAAGCTGCAGGAGGCAGTTCTTAACCTGTCCGCTCCGGCCCAGCCGGAGAGAGAGAGAGAGAGAGAGAGAGAGAGAGAGGGGAAGGAGAGGGGGAGAGACCGAGCCGTTCTTCTTTCGGTAGGTGGGCAAGTTTCGCGCGTATGCGTGGGTTATTTTAAGCAATGCGACCATACGTATTTTGCGAGGTGGTTGCACTTGGACCAGACTCTTGCGGATATGTCGTCGACGTCGTCGGCGACGATGGGATACATATGCGTGCGTGCGTGCGTGTGTGTGTATGTATGCGTCGCATAAGGTGACCCGCAGTTACGATCGCCGAAATCGACTTGAATTCCCGGCTTGCATTCGCGAGAGAAAAAGAGAGAGAGAGAGAGAGAGAGAGATGCCGACGTGCATTCAGCTCGGCGACATTTTCATTTCGCCAGCGCAGTCCGCAGACAAGAATTATTTCGCTTCTATCTGTGCTTTTTATCTCATCTTTATCTCTTTACCGTCGAGACTATTTTCGCTCGAGTGTGCGGTGATGTGAACGCGGGAAAATAGGCGATATAGGTCAAGGGTGTTTCGGCATAGAAAAAGATAGTGCCGTGACTGGTAGTAGCCGTGAGTTTACAATCTGTACGCGCGGAGCTGATCTGCGCTTTCGGACGTGTGTAAGGATGTGTCCTTGTGGCGTCCTTGCCCTCCGGTCATTCACCGTATGCACGCACTCACGCACGCACGCACGCAAGCTTGCATGCATGCTTGCACGCTTGCGACACACGCTTTTATGTTTTCGCGCGCGCGTGCGTATTCGTATGCTCACATACACACACACACACGCGCGCGCGCGCGCCCACGCAATCCGTGCACGTCGGAACTCAAGACACGCGGTCCTTTATGTTTACGACACTCACCCCCACTTGATGGGCGATTCGACTAAAAATAACTCGCAGAGTAAAAGAATTCGGCGTGCATCGATCAGCATTCGCACAACGGAGAACGAAAGTCCAATCGAGTGGATCACGACGTCGACGTCGACGACGACGACGACGACGTCGGGCGAGGAGTACGATCGTGAAACCGGACCGGTTTGATACCGCGCGAAACCGCGAAAGGCAGAGATTTGGTAATGAAGAAAGGATGCTGCTATATAAAGCACGCGTGTGTGACGTTCGCTGCGTGCGCTAACGTCCGTGTTACGTGAAAGTAGTATTATATAGGGCATACTTGAGAAGTTGCGCGATGAGACAGGTAATCGTCTTTCGGAGTATCAGTAGTTGTAAAGTTATGTAACATTGGGAATTGGAGCCGAGAGAAGGTTCTTCTTGTCATCAAGCAGCATCAACTTCTAATGCCGTTTTAATCATTTAGAAACACAAAGAAAATAATATATTATCTACTTATTCATCGGGTTTAGTTTCGCCAAAAATAACGTGAGATTCAAAGTTTGGGGAGCGAGACACATACAATATCGAAAGGATGTAAAATGCGTTATGGCATTGTGATTGGTATTATAATAAAATACATGTGATTCATTTTTTGCGTAAAGATATCATTCATAGTATATCGCGAGTATGACTGGGGCACGAAACGGTTTCTTCAAATCAGATTTGTGCGAGTATTTCGCTTCGCGGTTCACTATCGATCTCTCACAGGACCACTTCCGCGATTCAGTGTCGGCCAAATCAGAGGCGAGTCTATAACGGGAACACAAACGCGGCTGCTCGAGCGCGCCTTGTTTCAAAATTCCTCGCGGCGAAATCGTCCTGCGATCTCTCCTCCCTCGTCGTCTTCAACGAGACTCACCTCCGCTTCGAGGGAACAGGTGGGTCGCACGACGCTAAGGTCGCCGGGGTCAGGCGTTTATCGGTCTGAGAACGGGGTGAAGGGGAGTCCGTTGGATGCAAACAAGGTTGAGCACCTTACACGAGAAGGTCTTGTGGCACGACTGCACCAAGTATGCCTACGTATGTATCGTCTTTCTGGACTCCCGAGAATGAGAAAGAACGAGAGAGAAAGAGGAGGAGAACGAGGAGGAGGAAGAGGAGGAGGAGAACGTCGACGACCGAAGAACCAGAAGAGAATCGTGCATATACGCCGTTCGAACGACGGGGAAGAAACGAAGACAAGAAGCGGCAGATGCGAATCGAAGAGAGGAGAGGAGAAAGAAGAAGAAGAAGAAGAAGAAGAAGAAGAAGAGGACGAGAAAGAAGAAGAGGAGGAGGACGAGGTAGAGGAGAAGGACGAGAAGGAGAAAGTAAGACGGATAAATATCAGAAGAAAGAGAAAGAAGGAGCAAACGGTGGATAGGGCGAGGCGAGGCGGAGCAGGGCGGGGCGAGAAAGGAGGTTTGTACAAGACTCCGTACACACAAGAGAGACAGACAGAGAGAGAGAGAGAGAGTGTGGCCCTCCACGGGGCCCGGGCACGGACCCCAGTAACAGCATTCAGTAACACCATGCGCTTGGTGAGGCTCAGCCTGGCGTGGCGTCTGGCCACTGCCAACCGGCGCGGCACAGCGTCCGTGCCAAGCTCGTCTTTTTTTACTGGACTCTGGCGCAAGATCCTACCGTCTTCCTTTCTTTCTCTCCACCTTTCTCTTTCTCTCTTTCTCTTCTCCTCCCTCCCGCGCTTTGCTCGTCGTCGTCGGGCCCGACGTCTTCTCGTCTCGCTCCATCGTTTCCCTCCCTTTTCCTGGGCCCCGAGACTCCTCCTAGCCCGAGTTCCCCCTACGACCATATCAACGTCCGCGCGCGCCTCCGCGTCCGCGTCCCGACATCGACATTCGCCGGCTGCATGCCTCCAGTTGAATATCCTCCTCGCTGTGAATCTCGGTGGCACTCCACCAGGACATCCATATCCTTCTTCTTGCCTTCCCTCTTGCACCGGTCGGCGTTACCTTCTTTACCATCGCGCGCCACTTTGGGCCCCTACATCTATCCTCGTCCCCGTATCGTCCGCGTGTCGTCGTCGTCATCGTCGTCGTCGTCGTCGTCGTCGTCGTCGTCGTCGTCGTAGTAGTCGTGATGTTCGATACTGTAAACAATCCGCGAAAAGAACCTCTGCCCGTATGCAAACCGTATGCACGCCGCACACTCCGTGACTGCACTTTACATATCGTCGCGGCAACAAAACGACTCGAGACTCCGACAATTCTTCGCGGACGATGCTCGGTCATGCGGACCGTCAACATCGCCACGTTTTCCGAAATTCCACGAGCACGCTATGTCATCCGGCTTGCACGATCGTGTATTTCTCTTTCGCGAATAAACGGGCGATATCGGTCGGAAACATAACATTGCGCGGCTGTTTCGCGAAATAGAACCGTGAGTATCGCGATCTTTTCCCTTTTGCGGCGTCTTATCTGCACGCATATCCGGGTCAACTTGTCGAGAGATAAAACCTTGTCGCCCGCTATTTCAAAACACGCATACACACAAAAAATGAGATTAGTGCATTAATCGCGTTGATGAGCGCGACAAAGCGGTTTGGCGGGACGTAAGAAATGACGGTTCAATGCACCGGCAGTGCTCGATTTACGGCTGCATATATCGTCTGCAGCATCGATTTCTTGCTCTCTTAGCTAATGATACAGTCGTCGCTAGTGCACACGCACTAGTCGTTAGACGGCTCGGTAAATATCGTCAGCCGTATTAATCGAGCGAAAATTTACTTGTAAATTACTTTCTTCCGTGTTGCTGCACGTCCTATCTCTCGACGCGACGCGCAATGACAGACGGGGACGAAGAAGACGCGCGGTACCTGTCCTCACACGCGGCACTTAGTCATTACGTTTCTTACGCGCACTCCCCGAGCACCCGATGTAAGTAAATAATTGTGAATCTCAATGAGGGGAAAATCATTTCGGTTTCACACCACGCAAACGTCATCAAAGAAAACAGTCAATGTACTAATAACATTGACGTTTTGGACATTCCATAAACATTCTTATTGTTTTTTGGTCTTTAAATATTTCAACTATCAACGTAGAACAGATGTATGTACAGATATATTTTATATTAAAAGTTTAAACTTTCGTATCTAACAAGATTGAAAAATAAGAATATTCAGAGTTAGATGCTAATGTTATTGGTGTACTTTTCGTCTGCTCGGTACGTAAGAAATTATATGTAAGAAAGACTTTTTTTCCAAAACGAATGCAACTACGTTGGCGACACAAGGGGTAAGCTGTTTCGCGTTCAATGTTTACACAGCACTGTTCATCATTCGTCAGATAGAAATCGCCACACAAACCGTGGTGTCGCATTATAATCGTCTCCACCCCGTCGATCGACCCTGTCGCACTCGAAACCTAAACTCTTTTTTCCCCTCCCCTTCCCTCATCTCTCTCCCCATATATTAGCAGTTTCTCTTAAATCCGTGCGAAAACGTTCTCGCGCGAATGAGGAAAGGTAAAGAGGGAAGCTAAGGAGACGTGCGCGCGGCGCGACGGAGAAGTAAATAAGTAAATAAACCAGCCGGTTTAGCGACGAGGTGTCGCGATGCAAATAATCGTCTTTCTCCGATTCGAGGATCCGAGGCGCGAAAGTGCACGCGTCTGTAAATATGCACACGGCATAGTATGTGCACGGAACGTATATGAGCTTTTCTCGGTCCTCGTCGTCTCGGTCTTCTCGCCACCTCCTCCTTTTCCTTCTTCTCTTTCTCCTCCTCCTCATATCCTTTCCCTCCCTTCTGTTCTTCTCGACCGACCGACCGCGCGGTCCGGAATATCTTGTACTCTCCAAGATCTCCGCGACGCGACCGTTTATTCTTACCACCACCACCACCACCATCACCACCATCACCACCGTCGTCGTCGTCGTCGTCGTCGTCGTCGTCGTCGTCGTCGTCGTCGTCGCAAAGGCGTTAAGTAATTTGCTTATTTTTTTCGCCTCGCCAATGGGCTCGCGTATACATATATTGACACCGTTTTCTCATCCGTCAATACTTGGCGCGCGCGATGGTTTTTACGCCGCCGTGCTGACTGCGGATGAGGCGGTGCGACGAGAATTATCCGGTTGTCGCATGGCAAATTATGCCTGCCGACGAAGACGGAAGTGGATAATGGCGTAGAAGGACAGCATTTTTATCGGCAAGGGTAAATATCGTCGTGATACTGCCGTTATACGTAGCGTGGCGTCGCGTTGCGTCGCATCGCGTTGTCTCGTGTCGCGATCGTGGGACACGCTTCACGTTTTGCGGGGTAAAGCGAGCCTCGTGCTCCCGAGCGTATCGTCGCGAGAAAGTAGACTAGACGTTCACGTGGGGATGAAACGATCGTTTGAGTCCATGAGAGTCGAACGAATATTTGTTAGCTCATCAATTATCGAAAAGGAACAAAAGGCCGCAAGTCTGTTTGCAGATTTTGATTTCATTGCACTGTTATTTTGTACACTGAGAGAAAAAATATGTAAAAATAACAAATATTTATTTAAGAATATTTATAATATGTATTTATTTGTCTGAATAAACAATTGCTTTCATGAGAAGGTAAAGTTTTAAGAAAATGTATATTGTCTTATATGTAGAAAATATTTTATATTAGTGTAAGTAAATGTGTGTATTGTTAGTATCCACCCCTATAAATAAATGTTTATTATTTCTTAACTATTTTTCTTTCAGCGTAGCTTTTCTTTATCTCTGAAAAGGAATGTATTTGAAAATATGATATTATATAAAATGTTGAACCTAGACTGTAACTTTATGTCCCAAAAAATATGATTCTATATAGAGGGTTAACACGGTGAGCGCGCTTACGATGGAGGACCGAATTGGCTATGCGTTTCGTTTATGTGTTTATCGAGAGAGGAATCGTCCTTTCTCTCCCATGCTCTGAAAGCAATATCATACGATTCCCTTTTTTCTCTCGCACGATAAAAATACGTCGACGAAACGCATGGCCAACGTGACCCTTGGGCCAACTTGACTCGGTCTCCCCTAACGCACGCTGCGAGAAACGTCGTTTCGTAAATCGTAACGGCGTCACGATCAATCGCTCGTGGATCCGCTCGTTCGCGTTTCGTGACGCGGCGATTAAGGCGGTGACGTTACAGTAAACAGATCGTTCAACATATTTAAGCCGTTTATTATCCGGCTGAACAGAGCCGTCTGCGCTGCGCACACATATCTCTGTCTAATGTTGTAATGCCCGTCTAATTCAATATAATTTAGAGAGCGTGAGGGACGAAGACGATTCCCAAAGTAATATCGCCACTTCGTGCGTGCTGTAGCGCTCACGATGCGTAACCTAATGACGGATCATTTAAATTGTCGAGGTTCAATAAGCGTTGACGACGTTATGTCAATGCCACGTTAGGTTGAATGACCAATGACCCCCTCGCATATATAGCATTGCGTAACCCCGTCGTTGCGCGTTACTTCCCGCCTCTTCTTATCGGATGTTCAACTTTACACATATAATTGCAGTTTAGCTGTCGCAGTTCGCCGCCACGGAATATCCCCGCGAATCAATCGCGATATATCGCGTCCGGATTATGTACCTTTTCACCGTGACGTTCGCGTCGCGATGGCCGAAGAAGAAAAATGAGTAATATACATTACAACTGTGTCCCCCCCTCGTGAGAAGTAGGCCATTGACTCAAGCAGACGCAACATGTTATCGCAACGATAATCGTTTGCGTCTGCGAACGAGTCAACGTACGAAATTGCCAAGTGCCAAAGATAGAGTGGTGAGTCTAATTCGACAATTGGTCTCGTCTCTATCTCATATGTCATCGATAGCGCGGAGACGATTCGATTCGTTTGTTCTTTCAGAGGAAGGGAAAAATCAAACCGATCGATTTTACGCCATCATAAACACACGCTGCGCAAAACGTCCGAATAATCTCGTTGTTTGATTTTGACAGAGAGCGCAGACTGCACCACGATACGCTGTCGAGAAGGCCAGACTTGTTTATCCGAAATGAAGTCCGGACGACCGCGTTGCGTGACCTGCACCTACCGTTGCCCTCGGAAACGGGAGCGCGTCCGGAATCGAACGCACCGTGACAGAGATCGTGATCGAGACCCATCGACGACCATGTTATGCGCGACAAACAACATCACCTATCCCAGCTGGTGTCATATTATCAAGGACGCCTGCGTCACCGGTTTCGTTCTCGAAACCCGGCACGCGGGCCCTTGCAACGCTTACGATACGGCCCCTCTTTATATCGGTGAGTTACAACAATTATTAAAAAAGAAAAAAAGGATAAATTTCTGATGGGGATCTAGCGTGTGGAAACTGTGCTAACGAAAAATCGTTCTTCTCGTTCTTTCGTTGGAATTCGCCGGTGATGAAAGTAATCGATACACATTAAAACATAGATAATTACAGTCAAGACACATTTTATAGGACTAATTCCCATCCCTTGTTCGTGCAGTCTCTGTTAGATTGCGTACACGCAGAAACCTGTTGCACATTATATGGAAACGGGAAGAAATAGTTTCTATCCTGCTTATCTCTGCCTTCAATGCGAATGATTCGACGCGATTGTTTGCGATTTATTGCGGATCGCGCAGAAAATGTATGCACTCTCGTATGTGTGTGTGTGTGTGTGTGTGTGTGTGTGTGTGTGTGTGTATCTGCTTGATGATTATTGGTAAAGTATCAAAGATAGCTACGTTCGTTGCAGAGGACGACAACACCTCGAGCAACTACGGGGTCGATTTGGCGGACGAAGATACGAAGGCAGGCGATGAACGCACCAAATCCCCATACGGCCTGCACTCGTTGGCGTTGTCGTAGCTCCGGTATCTGCGCTTTTCGTAAGAGTATGACAACACGCGTGTATGCCGTTATAGCGGCAGATCGCGACCTACAGTCTGGAAATTCGACGGGTGCTCACCTCACCGAGGAGGAGGAAGGTCACCGAGGAACGGCGAAGCGTGAGCTTGAAGATCGGCATCGATACGCGATGTATCCGTTGTTCCTCGATCTCCAACAGATAGACTAGAAGAAGAGGAACGAGAAGGAGGGCCATCGACTTGACACCGAGAGCAAAGTCTAGCGAGGCGCGAAAACATCATGTCTTCTTAGTCGCTTTTCCTCGAGGGGAAAAGAGAGAGAGGAGGAGGAAGTTCATATCAAAACACGCCTCGAGACAGAAACATATCTTGTTCGGTGCTGCTGCCGAAAGAACTAGGAGCGAGAAGGGGAGAAGAGCGGGGGCACTTGGGAATTACTTTACGTGACAAAAGAGATACCCACACTGCCGAATTCTCTCTCTTTCTCTTCTGCGCCGATGCGCGCTTACTGATCTCTCGTCGACGAAAGAAATAACGGTGCGAACGAACAAAAAAAAGTAGATCTCTCGTGTTGTTCGGCGCGCGCGCGCGAACGATCGCGACTTCGCGTGAAATTACGATCCGATATCGAGTCGGCGCTACCGATTCGATGCTGCTCTTCCGTTGATTGACGCAGACCACGAGTCTTCCGAGCTGACGGATATACATATATATGTGACTCCTAGGCATATAGTCGTATAGTCTCGTAACGTAGTAGAAAAGTTGTATAGAGCGAAAAAAAATAATACGAGCGACCATAAAGAACGCGTGTGATAATATTCGTAAGAGAGGTACCAACTTGGACGACCTGGAAAATTCCAAAAACTTTTGCATTATATACATACGTATTATCTGTGCTAAAATTGTTACCGAGACAAATTCGCACACGCACACGTACACCACGCATATAAACGTTTCATTGTGGATATATAGAGGAAATATCGTTAAATCGATGATAAAAATGTGGTGACTTTGAGATCGAGTGTCGCTCAGCGAGAATTTAGGCGGTGCGCTCTTCGCGAAATATCAATCAGTAATATTTAATTAGTGTCAAAATTTAACGATTTTAATGGCTTTTGCAAGGGTCTAAATTTTTAATGCTTTTACTACTTTCGATCAAATATTCAAAAATATTTATCAATTTAATATGCCGATCGAATTCTCGCTAGGGCAAGGGAGCAGATTTTCAAATTATCAAGAAATTTAATCCTATTAGCGATTAACATATTCTACGAAATATTTTACTGTGTATGCTGCCAATGATAAATGTCACGAACCAACAGATACTTGGATATTTCGGAAAAACGCAAGAAGCCTAATAGAAAAAGTATAATATCGATCGCAGTACTATTGTAACTGAGATAGATATGTAATCAAGAAGATATAAGAAAACAGTGTTCGGCATTGATCGATTAAGATGAGTTAGTTGATTAAAATAGTCGACAAGTCAATGATCAAAATTAAGCGATCGTCGTATGTAAAATCACTTAATCGATCGGTGAAATTAATTATTAATCGTACTTTGACTTGATTAATCGATTAATAATTAATTTCATCAGTCGATTAAATTGTTCACGATTACATATTGATTGATTTATCTTGACTGTTGATTTTTCGACTATTTTAAACAAATAAGATTTCAGTCGACAGATTCCCCACACTGTGAAAAAGCTTTCACTCCTGTCCGAAAAGTGGGAAAACGATTTGATCGTGCGATTTTTCTCACGACGTTCTTTTTCAACTATAGTTCTTCCAGGCGCGACTTTATCACAATCGTGTACCACAACTGTGTAAACTGATCGACGACTTCGCGCAAGCCCTTTTATTCCCCTCCAACTGACGCGTCTTTAAGAGACAGCCCAAGAGAGACGCGCATCAATAGTATTCTCTGACATTAATCCGATTAGTCGGTATTTATAGATATATTAAACGGAACTCTCTCGCGACGGAGAGAACGATAGCCGTTTCGGCTCGGCGTATCGTTCGGTTGCATCGTGTCACGCGGCGTAACGTTCGGGATGTAATGTAATGTAATTCGCGGTAAGATTGGCGCGGCGATGTCTCTCCCAAAAGTAGCGCATTAGATAGACGAACAATTTGACGTAAGTCAGTATTTATTAACCGACTTCGCGCGACGAAAGGTCGTTGACACGGCGGATGGACGATCGAAGATGATCGCGATGTGGTCCCGGTCGGTTTGTCGAAAGCATCTCGCGATTAAGCAGTAGCAATAAATTCATTCTCATAAATAATTTGGCGATATCATGCCGGATTAATTTATTTCGAACGAAGTTGGTGGTGTGGTTTTGCAACATTTGTGTGTAATTGGCCAATGAGACACAAGTTTTAGGCCAACATTAAGAGGAAGAAGAGGCAGTTCGCGATGTTTGAAATAGCAGCGATTAAACGGTGCTCGAGCGCGCTATCGAACGTGTAGCGCACTCGGCGCTCGATGAATTTGAAATTTAAATTTTAGAGGAGACACAAACAGAGATTTCACATGAGAAACGTCACTGGTCTGCCTTTAAACCTTGATTTGAATTCGCAACTTGCTTTAGTTTCGTCTGTACCCCGCATACCACATTTTCGTTGACATCATCGATCGTCCAAATGCTTCCGTCCTGACGTCGATAGTATTCGTGTAATATTTGTACTTAATTTATTTTAGTTTTACGAACGGCATTTCGTCCTCCACTTACGTCATGCACGGTACCAGGCGATTGCTTCGATCGGTCCTTCGATACGAACGCGGCGAAATTGGGAACGAAATTTCAACGTGGACTGACCACCTGTGTCGTTGAATCGACGACAAATATAAAATAGTGTTGTGCCGAATTTACTAGTATCATTATTGTTAAAATGATCGGGCAAAAGACAACGAAGCAGATATCGATCGGCACACAGATTTCTCAGCGATCTCGCGCGAGCCATTTGGATCATTCTAAATTTTTAAATTTAAAATTTTTTTTTGTAAAATTGCTGAATTTCACAGCATTTATTCCCAGTAACGATAATCGCCTGTTGCTTGTAAAATGGCATGCTGCGCTGCAGCAGTCTACATCTGTATCGCGGCTAAAGTCGGTCTAATGATCTCTGACCGTACGCCGACCAGCGTAACACACATAAGTAATAAGTAATAATGAAAAATCTCTCCCGGTCTGAGGCGGTACGATCGTGTGTGTGTGTGTGTGTGTGTGTGTGTGTGCCCCTGGCTGGGAGCACGCTGCGAGTTGGAGCGAATCGCGTGCCACGATTAAAAACGTGATCCGATCCGCACGTTAGAACACGTAAAGCAATTATGATAAAGCGTACGAACTCGCGGGACTCCGTTTCTATGAGAGATATAACGAATCTCACACACAACAAGCAGAATATATATATCACACTCTTAATGTCTAAGTTACAAAATGCTTTATCTAGGCAATAACAAATTAATTAACTTATAAATAGATGAATAAATATATAAATATATGTACAGGCGTCTCAAAACTATCGTATACGATACTTTAACAACGTATTTCGGAACTGCACTGTCGAAAAACTGAATGCGGATTGTAGGAAAACAGTACAATCAGCTAATCAATGATCACCGATAATAGATGATAAATCGGTATACCTGTCGTGCGAAATTTACACGATATTATTAGTCAATTTTAATAATTTATTATTCGAATATTATAATTACCTCGACTCATCTTCGTATTAGGATTTTCGACTCTTAATTGAGTTCTAGAATACCTTGTTAAACTATCGCACAACTCTTGGACAACCTGTATGAAAATACAATATGTATTTACAGAATTGTACAGAATGTTCGGTAGATAGACGCATTTGTGACGAAGAATACTCCTCTCTTTAAGAAAACTTTAAGGAAACCAATCTTTATTCTGACAAAATTTCTTTAAACCTCAGGTTTCTAATACGACATTCAAACGATCACATTAAACAATTTTATATCTTTATAGTTAAGCGCGTCAGGATCCTCTCGAGTAAGTCTGAACTTTGACTAAACATTCTTTTTTTTATTTGCATTCTTCAATTGCATTCTCTAAGAATCTCTTCTTTTGAAAACAACTATTTGCATCTCAACACATCTTTTCGCCTTAAATTATTGTTAAAAATTATAAATTGAAAAATTAAAATTAAAAATTATAAAATGAAAAATTTTTTAATTAAAAATTATTGTTTCTCAACAAGGAATATCACCAAACTTACATCAAACGCGCCTATTATCAAACATTCTGTATATACATATAAATTATGTATTATATTTTTCATATATATACATAACTTATATGTATATGTAAACTCGCAACTGCTTTCAAGACTGTGGAACACATTATATAGATGTATATATATAAATGTTTAAATAAATTATTATAACATCGTAATATCAATTATAATATGGTGTCATTGATTCTCTTACTTTTACAGAAATCAGAATTCGAAACTTTTGGGTTAGGCAAATATTAATATATGCGCAAAAATAAATAGGAGCATTGCTCAATATGTAACGAAAACGAAAAAAATGTTAAATATAAAATCTCAAGCCATCAATTAGCATAATAATTGCCTAATTCAAAGTTCCGCAGCTTGTTATTCACAAGACTGCAACATTTTTTTATTGTCAAATCGAGGTACTTTACCTTTAAAATATTAAGTATAAGTTTTATGTTTCGCATGTAAGTTTTACTGCTTTATTTGGCATCCGTAGTAGAACAGTGGAATTTACGTTGATATTTCGAGAATAAAGTACTTCGATTTGATGATAAAAAACGTTGCATCCATGTGAATAACTCGTGGGTGAATATACACTCATGTAATCTACATAAGTTACATGAATTCGACGTGGATACACATACCTGTTTTTGTAGAAGTACTGTTAGAACCTAACCTTCTCCGAACACACGACTTTTTCTCGAAAATTCCAATGGTCCATTTCGCCGAAGTAATCTCTCTCAGTTGTCGAACGATATTATTTTGTCGCCGCGACGAACGTACGAGATTCATTCACGGCACTCCCGACACTCCCGATGTCACTTCGCACGCGAGACTTTTATCGGCAGATTAAAAGTGCAAAACTCAGCGGATTTAATACGATATCGTTGTAACGCAATGAATACGCGATATTTTTCACATAACATTCGCGCGATGATTTGTGAGAGATACTTATTGCCGCCTTAACTGTTCAATGATATTCCGTTACAGTAACGCGCAAAACACAGCGGTACATTCTGCAACTTTTAACGATAGTGCCGTTATTAATTACTGTCGTTGGGCAGGTATAATACGAAAAGTTGCGCAACAACATTGTTGTTGATAGTTACAAAACAAGCCTCTTCCTGAACTGAAAGAACCGGAAATCGCGAGATGCATCGAATGCGTGATTCAAAACTACCGCCGCGCCACGACGGTTGCGATTCTCGAAATACCAAACGCGGCCACATTCACTTGAAACTCTCAACGATCTCGCTCTCGGCGATTGTTTGTTGGCGAGTACCCCGTCGCGACGAGTACGCAAAACTTGCTTTCAATAGTCCCGGAAATGGTAATTCGCGCGTGAGACTAACTGTCGATAAATTAAGATTCAAACGACGGTTAAGACTCAGTCGCCACAATGCGATGCGGTAACTTTGCTCGACACTCGCGCATACATATAACGGCTCGTTTAATCGTGCGATATTTTATGTTAATTTGATGATATTTTATTTTCGATATATGTACAAAACTTACTTTCTCGACATTCTCGGCAATGATCCGTGTAGGATGCTCCTTCTGCGAGCCAAAATCGCGACGATCACGGAACGCCTTTCAAATTCTGCTTGCCGAACCATGAGTACTACTAACTAACTGCAGATGTCGCAACATTCTCGACTCTCGCGATATATGAGTGCAGTTAGTATTACACCCGCCTACTAGCGCCAGTGATCTCTCGTGTCTGTGTTTGGCGCATTTATTTATATTGAAAAATATACACCAATCAAATGCAAACACTGAATGCACCATTGAGAGGCTTGCTTGGACCGCGTTCCGTAAAGATCGTTGTACATTAGTTGCAAGTCGATTGCAACTCTTGTTGCGACAGCCAATCAGAAGCATCAATAGCACCATTGATACTTCTGATTGGCTGTCGCAATAAGAATTGCGTCTGCTTGCGATCGGCTTGCAACTAATGTAGAACGACCTCAATGGGCGCATTCAGTAGAAAAAGCGCTCAGTGAGCAATCAACGATTATTGGTTCTTGCTATTAGATCCCTAAATCTAGACCAATTACATTGACAAATTACTCAACTGTTGTACAACTGTTGAGTCTGCTGAATGCAGCCAATGTCAGACTACAAATAAGGAATACAATCGGACCAATCATGTAATTTAAATCTTGGTTCTGCTTTATTTTACTGCTCCAATTGCAATCCTCAATCCTCAATAGTTTGAAACGGACATAATCGCGTATGTGCGTATTTATCTATAATTCATGTTATATATATACTGTAGAAAATGCGCACCATGCGTGATCATAGGTCTTTTGAATATGATATTCATTATTAAACAACTTGACATTCAAGATATTCATGTAAAACATTTGAGACAGTCCAATATTCAAAATAAAATAAACAATGTTATTAAAAGATGATTGTTCGACTAGTGCTTTTGAAATATGAGAAAACTACTTATCATTATATACCCAGATAGCACAAAATCTCCAGAGAATGTTCTGGGACGTTCTTAGAATGTATGAATGTCCTTAGAATGTCTTTAGAACGTCTTTTGAAGATTTGTACTGTATGGGATAATACAAGGAGGAAAAAGTTAAAAAAGTTAAATAAGTTTTTAAACACGTTTATTATATAAAATTTATTTTTTATCTTTTCGACACGCCCATTGTCGTTTCGATACTCAATAACAGAAACTTAATGATACAGTCAGTATTATAACGAAATATATATATACAAAATACTATTATAGAGATTTGCAACGTAATATTTAATAATTCTCTAAAGGAGATATAAAAAGGAGAAACACAAATAAATATTACTAAAAATATTTGACTCATAACAGATATCGTCAAAAAACTACCGTATCTATGTGGAATCATATTATTATTCCAATGCTAATACATAACTATTTGATAAAGATACATATATGGTACTATATGGATTAAGATACTTGATACTATATGGGTGAAATACATATATGATAAATACTAATGATGAATAATACTATATATGAAATATATATATATATATATATATATATATATATATATATATATGTGTGTGTGTGTGTGTATACACATGGTACTTTTTTTTATATAGCTCGATAAAAATAAAATTCCATAACCAAATAACTGACATTAATACCAGCGCATAATGTAGTAATGTACGTTAGCAGAATTAACGGCAAAGTGGATAATATCAGATGCGTCTTATGAAGTATTTCTATACCTAAAACAAGAATATATTAATAACTTTTAATCATAATAAGAGTATATTAATAACTTTTAATCATAAAATATGTTAATTATAAGAATAAATTATATTGTTGCCTAAGTAGTATGAATATTTGAGCAATCAATGGGCTTACTTGCATAGCCAAGAAAGGTAATATAAATATAATATATAATAGCTATAAACCAAAGGGTATTCCCAATGAATCGCGCAGAGAACGTATCGCCATTTATCAAAGCTGTATAACAAAATAACGTTAGTTAAAAATTACTTTATCACAGGCGAAATAAGATGCATACATAATCTCACCATTGTAGACAAATAATTGGAGAATGTGAAGTATAATTAAAGGAGGAAATACTGCATTCATGTGGATATCGAATGCATAGCCCCATTCAACATCCTGTATCTTGTCTATCCTCAGATATCGATTAGTTATAAACCTATATAAAGAAAATAAAGATTCATACAGAAAATTTAAAGGAATAATGTAATATAGCATTGGAAATATAAAAAAGAACCTCAGCTTGCTGAGTTATAAAGAATTGAAAACAAGTTTTTATGACTCTATTATAAAATATTATAATGTTTTATCATCAAGGCTAAAATCTAACAAACAGTACATTCCGATGCAGCAAGAAAGAGACGCTCAAACATCTTGAGTGTTCTTACCAAAATATTGTTGCTGTTAAAAATCCAACACACATATATTCGATAAACATCATATAAAACAGTAACTTCACATATTGGAAGAATCCTAAACCCAATACAATGGCAAAACCAACGGTTGATATTGAATAACTGCATGTAAGCAACACAAAAAATGCAGGATCATCTCTCGCAAATTGTGACTTTGTTTCTGTAAAAATATACAATAAAAATATAACTTTATTGAGTATCTATAAGTATCAGAGATAACAATATAAAATATCTCTCAAAATGTTTAACTACTCTGTATATCATTAAAAGTATAACGTACGTTTTCTGTTTTTGAAATTTCTATAAACTTTTTGTGGAGCTACAAATAGAAAAATTATTTGCCAAAGAGCAAACTCAAAGTCCATTTGTTCAAACTTGAGTAGCTTTCTTAGATATTTGTAACATTTTGTTGCAGCACCCATACAGTTGTGCCTGTATGTTATAATATGTATCATCGATTAATTGAACAAATTTACAGAAGACATAAAACAATACATATAAATGTAATAGAATGATACCTGTAAACAACTGGCATTGGCAATGAAGACGAAAATTCTGTTGGAATAGGCGAGTGACATCGACTCGTTGGTGGAGAGGTAGAATATTTCATTTTCTAACTTTTTTATATAAAAGTTTCTCTCTGTCAGTTCTCAGGCTAAAACAGCATATATCATACAAATGAAAACACGTGAAAGAAAAAGTGCAAAATATACCGATGTTTAAAGTGAGTTGTTAACTTTGAGAAAGTTAAGGCAGAACCAACGAAACTATATTTTGACAATGAATTTTTACGATAATATACGATATGGTATATTAGGACTGCGCCCTGAAATTCACTGACAGTATCGAAAATCTATAATTCATGTATATTCATATGTATATAGAATTTCAGCACTGGCAATGAATTTCGAAACGCAACCTAGATATACGATAAACGGTAGATTCAAAAATGGTAGAATAAAATACAAAATCGCAGATACAAATATACTATAATTTATTGTATGCTCGCTATCGTTCAACACCTATATGAAATTATGATTAAGTTCAATAAATAAGACACAGTTATCGAAAATTTCTGGTTATTTGCAACAGTTTGAGGTTATATTTATATCAGAATCCACAATTTCTATACATTTTAAGTGACCAATCACTAAGCGCTTACTAATAGCATGTTCGACTAGCTCTGGGTTAACCCACTCTGAGTTATTCAGCCTACGTTTATTGGTCGAACAAGTACTTATAAGCTTTATGATTGGCTAGTAGAGACTTATGACGTCATTGATCGCTCTCGAAGCAATTAACTCAGGACCAGTCGAAAACGCTATAAGCGCTGACTTCTAATGCTAGAGAGAAGCATTCGAGTGCTTTCCAGATACATTACACTGTTACCAGTTTATTGGTCACATATTATCTAAAATATCTTGTAAGATAATATGCAACCAATAAACTAGTTTTGTGTAACTAGGGCTGTTTACGATAATTCGAGTTGGATTAAGTACGAGTTAGTTTCACTAGGGCCGAGAAATATGATAGGCACAAGCATCTAGTATTTTCAAGATTTATGACAACTCAATGCTGTCCGATAAATCGAGTAGAGTAGAGTAGAGTTAGGGTAGTATAGCGGATAGTATATGTATAAGAATTAACAGTATCAGATAACATAGTTTCGTAAAATATGTAACAATAATATTACAAAACAATTATTTATTATATTTTAGAAAAATTAGAAGCACTAAATTAAATTATGAAAATGATATTAATTTAATGTATTTGTGAAATATTCAATAATAATAGGTTAGAATAATTGTTTTCTACTTTTGGATATTTCACAAATACATGATACCTTTTCATAATTTAATTTAGTGCTTCTAATTTTTCTAAAATGCAACAACTCATTGTTTAGTAATATTATTGTTATATATTTTACGAAACTATGTTACCTGATACTGTTAATTTTTATACATATACTATCCACTATGTTACCCTAACTCTACTCTACTCTACTCTACTCGATTTATCGGACAGCATTGAGTTGTCATGAATCATGAAAATACTAGATGCTTGTGACTATCATATTTTTCAGCCCTAGTGAAACTAATTCGTACTAACTCCAACTCGAATTATCGTAAACACCCATAGTGTACACTCGTGGTCTAAAAGGTTTGTGCACCGAACACATATACCGTATATGCCATCCTTATGCTTTCGTGGTGGCGCTAATATGTCAAGTAGTGGTTGTCTCTCTCCTGAAGTTGGGACGCGTTCCGAAATCTACAAAAAATCGATGCACAAACCTTTTAGACCACGAGTGTACGTGTAGCTGGAAAGCAGCCTTGAAATGGCCAGAGCCAATGACGTATATATATAGACCAAAGCCCATATTCTTGAAATTTTTGCGTATACGTAATTTTCATTACGCAGCTATTTCATGGTATGATTAAAGCTGGCCACACACACTTTTCGTAACAGTAACCGTAAGACGTAACGTAAGAATTGACCAATCGTGTTGAGAATCGTCGAAACGTAAAGCGTCTTCTACAATGGCAGTAGGAGTAGTAGTAAGAAATAAGCAGTAAGTAAATAGACCAATCACAATCGATTATTTTTTAAACGTGAGAATGGAATTGGTCAATTTGCTTACTGCTTATTTCTTACTACTACTCCTACTGCCATTGTAGAAGACGCTTAAGATCGCCATTTTGATAAATACTCGATCGTAATTGTTCAATTCTTATGTTACGTCTTATGACTCCTGCATATAGGACGCGGTAATGCTTGCTGCGCGGCGGAAGTTTGCGCGACAGCCAATCAATATGCTGCTTTCCGTAATAACCTTCTAGCTCTTACGGAAAAACAACATATTGATTGGCTGTTACGCGGATTTTCGCCGCGGGGCAAGCATTAAGGCCTTCACACACACTTTTCGTAACAGTAACCGTAAAGGGACGTCTACATTGGAAGTAAATAGCAAGAAGTAGGAAGTAAGAGTAAGAAATTGACCAACCACAGTCGAATGTGAGAAGAATAATTAACTATGATTGGTCAATTTCTTATTCTTACTTCCTACTTCTTACTGTTTACTTCCAATGTAGACGTCCCTTAAGACGTAACGTAAGAATTGACCAATTACGATGGAGTATTCACAAAAATGACGACTTTATGTTTCGACGATTCTCAACGTGATTGGTCAATTCTTACGTTACGTCTTAGGCAAGTGGCACACAAAAAAACTTAAGCAATAAAACGTAACAGTAAGCAAATTGACCAATCACAGTCATTGATTCTTCTTACGGTCCAAGAATCAACGACTATGATTGGTCAATTTGTTTACTGCTTACGTCTTACTACTTAGGCTGCGTTCCGATATTCGCTGCCAGTACTGAAAATCTATAGTGTACGCGACATGAACTGTACTGTTTCAGTATTGGTAGTGAATATCGGAACGCAGCCTTAAGTTTTTCTGTGTGCTACGGCCCTTACGGTTACTGTTACGGAAAGTGTGTGTGAAGGCCTTTACCACGTCCTATGTGCAGGAGCCATAATAGGTTATATATACCATATGCTATAAACATGAGCACCTGGAGATGCTATTTATGCGAAAAAAAGCAGCTGCAAATGAAAATATCAGTTTACACAGGTGAGGAAGCAGCTATCCAGATTAGGTACATGTCACGCACTGGCACTTTTACTTTATATATATATATATATATATATATATATATATATATATATATATATATATATATCATCATCTGATCGCCGCGCCTGTGCACTACGGTCAAAATATACTCCTCGGACATCGTCTGTCCATTCTGGGAAAAGCTCCTCTTACAGGCAGCACAAGGCGATTAGCAATATAGTAGTATTACATATATGCTTCTTAACCATGTAATTATGCGCTTAGCATATGCACGATCGCCAGAAAACGTAGAATGGACACGAAACAAATCGACACTTTACCGGCAGCGTTTGGAAATGGGCGTAGGGAACGTAGTTCCACCTCAAAAATAGGTGCAGATGGCGCATCGAACAGCGTGAAAATCGGTGTCGGCCAAAACGT